CTTTACATTTAAACAATTAGTTATACAAAATGTTATTTAATTATAACATGATTCTTGTGGTACAGGATGCTATATGAACATATAGTGGGGTAACAGTCTTTACTGTGGGGTCAGGGAGGCCTTTTTTGAAGACACGATGCTCATGCTGCGTGCTGAGGGATAAGTAGTAATGGAAGTGCTTCATTTAGTTAAAGTTGTATTTAGGTAAGGATCTTGTCTGTGACTCAGAAAGAAATGTAGAAAAATGGAAGAATTAACCCTGGACCGTTTGAATGTTCCCAGTTGAGGAATGGATAGCTAACAGTTTGGAGATAAGTACTGATGATCTGAGTAGATCGTTGTCTTCTTTTTGAGAAATTGTGGAATTCAGTGGAAGTTCTATGAGTATGAGAAGTTTATACAGTAAACCAGTACTTCTCAAATTTTAATGTAAGCACAAAGGGTCTAGGGATCTGGTTAATACACAGCCTTGGATTAAATAGGCCTGGGGTGGTCCCTGAAATACTGCTTTCCTAAAAAGCTCATACATGATGCTGATGCTGCTGGTCCATGGACCACACTTTGAGTAACAAAACTGTAATTACATATAATAAGACTTTAGCAGGATACCAGCTGGACAAGAGGCTGGGCAAACATTCTGGAAGTGATGTCCAATAGGGAGAAGTATTCAATAACAGTAGAGACAAAGCAGTTTGTTTCAAGAGGTATCATGCTACATACTGAAAAGTAAAAGGGATTCACAGTTGCTGTTACGGAGAGGACAGGAAAGCTTGGGATTGTGATAGATGACTACTAGCACAGCCAGTGAAATATTCCACAGACTCATTTCTGTGGTGAGGCCCAGGTGAACTAAATGACCATTAGTCTGCCTAGGGAAGAGGTCAGGTACTGAGGATTGATAGCCACCCTGTGGTAATTATATGAGCTCCAGAAAGTGATCTAAGTGACAAGCAGCTAGAGATACTAGAGAGAAGGTGCACTTCACATGGAAAAAGAAGAATGTTCAATACTACTTCTCATTAATCATAGGTGATTAATCCATAGATGGAGGGTATTGCTAAATAGATTCAATTTTAAAAAATGGTTGTAAATGGCAAGGGTAGGAGTAGAATGGGGAATTCTATTGGGAATGGAATGGGAAAAAAGAATCTTATAGTTAATATTCACTGTGAAAGAGTCGCCACCATTAAGCCTAATGTTTGCATATCTCTTCTGTATTTCACTGGCACCCAGAGTAGAAGCTAATCAGACCATCAGAAGACATTATTGGTCTGCCCTTGTTTCAATATATTATTATGGAAAGTATCTTTTTGTTGCAATTCTGCTTTAAATTTTTGTTCAAGATATTTTATAGTAATTAGTAAACTTATTTGGATCAGAGAATTAAAGTAACAGCAAGTTAGCCATAAGTCATATTATGAACCATATATATAAAAATATTTTATATTTAATCATATTTTTTTCATGGTTTAAAAGAAATATTTTGGAATGTTAAGGGTTTAAAACCCTGTCTAGGGGCTTCACTGGTGGCACAGTGGTTAAGAATCCGCCTGCCAACGCAGGGGACATGGGTTCAAGCCCTGGTCTGGGAAGATCCCACATGCCGTGGAGCAACTAAGCCCATGCGCCACAACTACTGAGCCTGCGCTCTAGAGCCCGCGAGCCACAACCACTGAAGCCCGCGTGCCACAACTACTGAAGCCTGTGCGTCTAGAGCCCGTGCTCCACAAGGGAATCCACCACGATGATAAGCCCGCGCACTGCAATGAAGAGTAGCCCCCGCTCGCCGCAAGTAGAGAAAGCCCACGTGCAGCAACGAAGACCCAATGCAGCCAAAAATAAAATAAATAAATTTATATTAAAAAAAACCCTGCCTAAAATTTTCTCCCCCTTTAGAATGTCATCTCTTTGGATTTGGCAAAATCTTACGACCTTCAGAGTATGGAAGGAAAGGAATTAGTCAGGTTTTCTACACTGATGAGCAGTCATTTTAGTTTACTTGTCTTTTAAATTTTGTACATGTACCTATAGAAGGATGATAGGCATAATTTACTGATATAGAAGGCTCAGTGAATCAGGCAACTGTCTTAAACTTTCTAAAACTCTTATTAGATTGAAATGAATCTGTAAAGTTTAAAACTAGTCCTAGAGTAGAATCAACTGTTAACTAAGATTGCCTCTTGATTTTAGAGGCAGGCCCACCTAGAAGGGGAGCCTGAGGAAAGCTGAGGGTATAGCACATGTTTGTGAAAGATCAAGTTTCCTTAGATATCTGTACTTCCAAACTGTGACTCCGTAAGAACTGGGTGTCCAGGAACATCAGAGGTATGAAAGCAGCTGTTTGAAAAGAAATTAAATATATAAAAAGGAACCCCCTTGAAGTTACAGAATTGAAAATGAGCAGTCACTGTAACAAAGATGATCATTTTTGTAATGCCTTAGGTTTAAATGATTGAGTTATTAAAAAGTATTCAACAGGCTGCCATTCTTAGGATAATGCTTTCTATACAGTGAAATGGTTTGTTGCCAGCTAGACTAGGACCCTGCCATGCTTGGGAGCATTTGGGGCAGAGAGCAGTCGGTAGAACTCTGTCTTCTCCACTTGGGGAATAGTGACAACTAGACATGATGAGGCACCCACCATGTCTTATTCGGCTACATTCCAGACACAGCCCCATGGGAAAAGGATCATCAGAGAAGTAAATACATTTCCATGACATTTCTTAAATGCCTTAGGAATATGGATGAAAGGCTATTATTTCTTCTTTAAAACCTAGAAACAATTCTAGAAACAAGGAAAAAACCTTTTACTTTTATTTATTTATTTATTTTTTTGCTGTACGCGGGCGTCTTACTGTTGTGGCCTCTCCCGTTGCGGAGCACAGGCTCCGGGTACACAGGCTCAGCGGCCATGGCTCACGGGCCCAGCCGCTCCGTGCCATGTGGGATCCTCCCGGACCGGGGCACGAACCCATGTCCCCTGCATCAGCAGGCGGACTCTCAACCACTGCGCCACCAGAGAAGCCCCAAAACCTTTTAAAGCCAAGCTTGGAAATCTAGTTTCAAACTAGATTTGTGCTCCTGAATGCCTGCGTGGCTCAGTTGTTCTTTCTAACAAACTATGCCTTACTCTCCACTGGATCAGTGATGGATTTAATGAATGAGGATGAGAGCTCTGTCCTCATCTGGCTAACATGACTCTAATGAAACTAAAAGGTGGGACTTAAGATTCAAGCTTGTGGACTTCCCTGGTGGCTCAGTGGTTAAGAATCCGCCTGCCAATGCATGGGACATGGGTTCGAGCCCTGGTCCGGGAAGATCCCACATGGCCACGGAGCAACTAAGCCTGTACGCCACAACTACTGAGCCTGCGCTCTAGAGCCTGCGAGCCACAATTACTGAGCCCACGTGCCACAACTACTGAAGCCCACACGCCTAGAATCCGTGCTTCGCAACAAGAGAAGCCACTGCAGTGAGAAGCCTGTGCACTGCAACAAAGAGTAGCCCCCGCTCGCTGCAGCTAGCAGAAGCCCGCACTCATCAATGAAGATCAAATGCGGCCTCTAAATAAATAAATAAATATATGGAAAAATAAAAAGATTCAAGCTTGTGTTGTGGTTTGCCTTGGGTTCCTTGATTCTACAGCAAACCTCTTAATCAAAACTTATTGTTGTGCCCAAAGAAGTTCTACCAAGAATTAGTATTAGAAATTGACCCTAGTTGCAAATTATGTATCATTATGATACTGTAACATTAAGGGTCATATGTGTCTGTTCTTGACATCTTTTACCTGTGTGGCTTTATAGGGCATAGAAAGAAGCCTCAGTGCTGGATCCTGTTTTTGTTAATTTTACCCCCAAGAATATAAGTCTTTTCGTACCTTATTTTAACATATTTCAAAATTATTTATTAAAAGCTTTGATTTTATTGTTCATGTTGTATATTCAGACAACTAATTTAATCAGCAATATTGGAATGTTTGTATTGCAAAACACCATGCAAGGCTGTTGCCCGAGTCAAAGTGAATTTTAGGTACTTCCCATCTGTATATCTTAGAAAACCTTTAAAAAAAAAAATACCTAAATTTAACCTGCTCCAGAAATGACCAGATTAAAGACCTAGAATTAGGGGCTTATTAATAGGTAGAGTCTGAAAGCTTCTGTTACCTATGATACAACTAGTGAATTGGAAGAATGGGCTTTTAGATTATATGAAAAATATATTTTTTAATCCAGGTCCTTACCTTGCTTTGAGATATCACAGTGGTTAGATATGTGTTCTGACTGGCTTATCAAGGTGTGTTTCTATTTAACGTAAGTCCAGAAGGAAGTGGGAGCACACGTTAACATCTCAGCTAGAGCAAGGCTGGGATCTTTCAGGGTTTTTTCTTTAATGTACATTTTGGTACCCTCACAGCCCTTAGAAGTGATTGGCATCTGCTCCCTAAGTTAATTTCTGTCTGTTTTGGGAAGTCATTTGGTTGTTGTTTGGTTAATTCACATGAGTACTATAGAGAGAGGCAAGAGGAGAAACGGGGGGAAAAAGACAGAATTCTTTAGGCGTGTAGGGATGTGCATCAAGAATTTCAAAGACTCTTCAAACAGATGTTGAGGGGTGGGGAAACAGCAAATTTCAAGCCACTCAACCATGACATTTCTTCTAATGAAGAACAGCTTGAAAGCTGTAATTTTGAGAGTGTTGCAGTATTGTGAAGTCATATACTTAGCACATTTTAAAATAGTGGTGAGATTTAAGTGGGCCTTTTCCATCTTAAATGGAATTAAGCACTTTGGGTCATCATCTTATTTTGATAGTTGTGGGTCTCAGAATGAACACCAGAGCTTTTAAATTTTAGGTGGGCCATGGCAGCATCTCTTTTTGTCCTTTATCTCCATTGTTTTCATAGTATAGGAAGATATTTTTTATCTCTTTAAATAAAGCAGTGAATTTTCTTTTTCTAGCTTTTCACAAATGACCTTGAATTCTTTTATATTTTGCAGTACGTTTTTATACCTGAAATTCCTGGTCGTGTGGGCACTTGTCCTCCTGGCAGATTTTGTCCTGGAGTTCAGATTTGAATACCTGTGGCCATTTTGGCTTTTCATCAGAAGCGTCTATGATTCCTTCAGATACCAGGGACTGGTAAGTTTATTAATATATATATTTTTCAAGTGTAAAAGATTTATTTACCCTTCTAAGAAAGTCTTCAATAACTGATAGTGAAACTGTTTAAAGTAGATTTTATTAGCAATACTTAGGTGACTGTATTGAGTAACAGGGTCTACGGACTGAAACTAGCCTTTGAGGCTATTTTGTCTAAACCCACTGATCAAATCATTTTACTCCCTCCTCTACCATTCCAGTGAAAAGAAGGGGAGGGAGGGAGGATTTCAGAAGGAAGACAGAGTAGTGGATAAAGCAGTAATTGCCCAGTTCTACTCTGAAGTACCTCTGGAGCCCCTATCACTGGCTTTGTGACTGGGTTCGAGTTAGAGCAGTGGTTCTCAGACTTTTTGGTCTCCAGATCCTTTACACTCTTAACAACTATTGAGGACTCCAAAAAGCTTTTATTTATGTAGGTTACATCTATCTATTTTTACTATATTAGAAATTAAAACTGGAAAAAAATTTAATACTTATTTAATTTAAATAAAAATAAAAAATTTAAATTTTTGTTTAAAATAAAATAAAATTTAAAATAAAAATTGAATACTTAATTCACTTAAAAAAAGCAATAATAAACCCATTACATGTTAATACACATTACATTTCAAAATGAAAAATAACTGTATTTTCCAAAACAAAATAATTAGAAGATTGACTACATTTTTGAAAATCTCTCTAATGTCTGGCTTAATAGAAGACAGCTGGATTTTCATATCTGCTTGTGAACTCAGGTGATTACAATATCACTTATCGTGTAACTTCTAGAAGACACCACCATACTCCTGAGTAAATGAGCATGAAAGAGGCAGATAACGCCTTAGTATTATTATGAAATGATTTTACCTGGAAGGCTCCCTGGAAGGATCTCAGAGATCCCCAGGGATCCCCAGATCATGTTTTGAGAACTACTGCATTAGAGCAAGGGCATAGGCCTGGGCTTGCTCCCTTGGTTGACCTGTAGTTCTGTTGTGTTACAGAGCCACATCTTAAACCTGTACCTCTTCTACCCAGGCCTGGTGCTTTGGTCAGAGCAAATCCATGCCTTGAAAAGATGGTTTTGAGCTCATGTCCTGTTAGTAATAGATAATGATGTGTCCAGAGGAAGCTGCATTGTTAAAATTATGAACATCAGTGTAATTCTTGCCACAGTTGTGTTTTATCTGTGCTCCAACAGCCTATCCTTTAAGAATGAGTTTCTTTAGTAATATTTTGTGAGGAGAGAGGAGGCTTTTCTGTGTTAAAATTCTGTTTCTTTTAGGTAACCCACCTGTGGAGTCCAAGTAAACTCACTGTGAATCAACCTGTTTGTACTGGTCCAGTTCTTCATGATTTGAGGCCATAAATAGGATTAGTCTTTAATGCTAAATTAACGACTACTTTTTATATGGGTGATTTTAACTATTTAAAATTTCCTGTTGTAACTTGTTCTGTAGTTATTGCATAGCAGTTTCAGAGATTTTGTCCAACGTGCTTTTAATAATCTCTGTTTGAAATTAACATGTTCTAAGATATGTTTTTTATTTTGTTTTTCCCTTTAGGCCTTCTCAGTATTTTTTGTTTGTGTAGCATTCACGTCAAATATAATATGTCTGCTGTTCATCCCCATACAATGGCTTTTTTTTGCTGCTAGTACATATGTGTGGGTTCAGTACGTATGGCACACAGGTAAGTTTTAATGGTTTCTTAGATAGATAGAAATCTTAGATTCAAACTTTTTTAATGTGATTTCCTTGAATAAATTATTTAGAGTTGAGTTTAATGTGAACATTTTTTTTAATCCTTCAATTTTTTTTTAACATCTTTATTGGAGTATAATTGCTTTACAATGTTGTGTTAGTTTCTGCTGTATAACAAAGTGAATCAGCTATATGTATACGTATATCCCCATATCCCCTCCCTCTTGCATCTCCCTCCCACCCTCCCTATCCTGCTCCTCTAGGTGGTCACAAAGCACCGAGCTGATCTCCCTGTGCTGTGCTGCTGCTTTCCACTTGCTGTCTGTTTTACATTTGGTAGTGTATAAATGTGGACATTTTAAAGATCCCTTTTCATAATAGATTATAATATACCTTTAAAATTTATTTTTTTATTATTGAATCAAAACTTTAAGCCTTTATGATTTGATATTTTGATTGTAGACATTTCAGTTACCAACTCTCATTATGAAGATATCCATTTTTTTAAAAAAAGTTGAAGCAGGTTTTATTTAGGTGGACTTGAAGACAGCCATGTGCCAAATAGGAAAAATGTTCCTTCAGCTTCAGTATTGAAAGGAATGTCAGAAGTCATTTAGTTGAACCCTTATTTGGCATAAGAGTCCCCACAGCATCCCTGGCACATGGTGGTTTAATCTCTGATTGAAAATCTAGTGACAAGGAACTTACTACTGTTGTTTTGGGGCAACTGAAATAGAAAATTCTTCCTCCTACTGAGCCAGAATTTTCCTCCTTACACTTTTGACCCAGCATGTCTTGACTGTCTTGGGACTCACTGATCACTTAGAGGATATAAAGGGCTTTCCCCAGAAAAACACATGGGAATATACAGAAAAAATTTTTTTTTTATTTTAAAGGGCTTACAGACCATCCCTGTAGTCCAAACATGGGACCCCTGCATTAGAGCCACACTGAATGAGCGTAATCTTCCATCCATGTTAACATTTCTTTAGAGCCTTAAAGACACTGTCATATCCTCTCATCTTCTTTTCTGTAGACCAAAGCATCTCCTATTTCATCAGCTTTTCCTTGTATGTTATTTTAAGCACTTGCACCATTCTGATCTCCCTAGTTCTTAATGGCTCTCTAAACCAAAATGTACTATTTCAGGTATGTTCTGACTTGAGTGGAGCTACGTAGCCACCTCCCTTCTTCTTAGAGCTATTCTTTTGCTATTACAAACTAAGATGACCTGAGATGTTTTGATAGCTCCAGTCCACTATGAAGCCTGCACAAGGGACGCATGGGGATATGATGATTGGCTCTCAGATCGTCCCATTTCTCTGCAAAGCTGCATGAAACTTGATTCCTAGGCCCAGCTGCAACCTGTAGAATTTTGACCGCTGTTGAAGCACCAACTAATAAAAGCTGTCTGGAGCAACAGTCATTCTCTTCTCTAAATGCTATAAGGATGATGTTGTCCCATGGTAGAAGACACAGTTCAGCTCTTATTTAAAGTATCCACTTTGAGCATTGTTTTCTCCATCTTTAGCGCTCTCTCATATCTGACTGAATTTATAAGCTAGCATGCTGGTTCCTTAGTCTGCTTTCCTCTAGTTAAAGTGATTTTCCTATATACCAGTTTTTACTTCTGTTTCCTTGTCCTGGCCCTCAGTTTCGAGTGAGTTGCAATTTATACTTGTCATTCTCTCTAGGTCTCAGCTTCTTCACTGTCATGTGAGGGTAGAGTAATCTAGACAGTGTTTAAGGGAGCCTTCGAGCTCAGATAATCTCTGACTCTGATGAACTATAATGATTCCCTAAATTACTTTAATAATGTCTTAATAGTTGAGAAAAAACTACTCATATAACTGTTAATAGAACCTATTGGAGTTCAGTGGGTGACCCACAGGGCAGCAATGAAGCTAATGTTATAAATGATATTGGCCTCTCTTTAGCTCTAGGCTCAGAAATGCATGTTGGAATACCTACGTTATGAAGTATGTTTTAATTTGGAATGATTAGTGAACAAACAAAACTAACTTTGTGTTCTTATTAGGCCCAATAAATATGAGTGCAATTTTTATAGCTTGGGATTAATTTCTCTTTCAGTTGTTAAAATTTTAAATTTTTCTTAAGAATGTTACGAATGGTTGATGAAATTATATATTGCCACAAAAGAATGAAAATATTATATCATTAATTTTTTTCCTTGCTATTAAGAGGGAGAAAACAGGATATAAAACTGTATGTACGGGACTACCCTGGAGGTCCAGTGGTTAAGACTCCACGCTTCCACTGTAGAGGACACGGGTTCGATCCCTCGTTGGGGAACTAAGAGCCCACGTGCCGCACAGCATGGCCTAAATACATACATACATACATACATACATAACAGAAGTAAAAAGAATACCTAAAAACCACCTGTATGTACAACATGACTATTATACTAGTTCAAAAATATTTTCAACATGGTTTGATCTTATTTATTTTATAGGTGTAGAAATATGGGTAGTTTATCCAAATTTTTCTATTTTTTCTGTAATGTGCTTATTTTGTTTATGATAACTTTAGAAATTAATAAAGGGAGTACAGAATATAAATTTTTTAAAATGCATTTTGAAATGAAATTGAAAATGCATTATCCTAAGGGTTGCTGTTTGTCTTCCTGCATTGTGAAAATACACTTTTTCCAGTACATTAAATCTGTAAGAATGGTTGAGACCATTAGCTGTCTTCACGGAGCTTCGAGTGTCTTCTTACCTTATGGACTAGGTCTATGGGGATTTAGGTTCTCCTTAGAAGCAGATTCATTGTTATCTCTGTGATTTGGACCCAATTTGTATAAACTCTGGGCCTCACTTTACTCTTCCATAAAATGAAAGTTGGACTAAGTGATCATCTTTCTAGTACCAAGATGCTATAATTTTTCTTGTGTTTCATCCTAAAGAGACTTAGAAAAAAGCCATTTAGTTCTTCAGGTCACTGAGTTTTCCCTCCAGTTCTGTCTTCTGTAACTTGCTAGCTTTATATGGTCTCAAAGGAGATCTTTCCAGAGTTAGTGGATCTCATGCCTTTGTGGTCTATCTTTCATGAAATATCCCATTATTAGTCATGTCCTGACATAGATGGACATAGCCTACAGACTTTGATTCTAAAGCCCAGTGAAAATTATCTCATTATTTGAGTTTTATTTATTCTATTGCAAGTTGCTTTTTCCTACATTGAAAATTGTTTTTAATTACAAAAGGAATATGAGCTTGTAGTTAAGAAAAAAATTTTTTTGAGTAATACTTAAATGTCAGAAACATTTCTTCATGCTGTGTAACTCATTCTTACTTAAGAATTTGTGTTTTTTACATATTTTGTGGTAGTACAGATCTTCATCCTTTTGAAAAGCTGCATCATATTTCATTATATAGATTTATCATAATTAAACATTTCCTGTTGATAGGCATTTAAGTTCATTCTAAGTCCTAATTTTTGCTATTGCAAATAATACATTGAATATTCTTATACATTTTTCCCAGGGCTCTTTTGTATTCCTGTAGGGTAAATTCCTGGAATTGGAATTTCTGGGTCAAAGGTATAAGTATTTTTAACTATACTGCCAAATTGCCTTCTAAGAAAGTTGCCCCAATTTATATTATTGCTGAGTATGAGAAGGAAGTGTTTCACATATCTTCCCTATACTATTACCCATCTTTAAAATTTTTGCTTTATCTGATAGGCTAAAATGATAGAATCTCATTTAAAAAATTTTTATCTCCCTAATCAGTAATGAAGTTGGCATCTTTTCACATGTTTTTTAGCCATCTATATTTTTTCTTTTATGACTTTCAAATTTTTTTCTTCAGTTGACTTTCTGTTGATTTGTAGGAGCTCTTTGTATGCTAGGGCTATGACTTCTTTGTTTTACATATATTGTAAATATTTTCTGCCAGAATGCTTGTTTTTATTTTTGTCTATGATTCCAGGCATCTTTTGTCATATAAAAGCTTTCAGTTTGGATCATATTGCTTTTTAATTAGTTTGGAAGTCTTTTTTTTTTTTAATTTATTTATTTGCTTGGGCTGGGTCTTAGTTGCAGCAGGTGGGCTCTTTAGTTGTGGCTCACGGGCTCCTTAGTTGTGGCATGCGAACTCTTAGTTGCAGCATGCATGTGGGATCTAGTTCCCTGACCAGGGATCAAACGCGGGCCCCCTGCATTGGGAGCGCGGAGTCTTAATCACTGTGCCACCAGGGAAGTCCCAAGTTTGAAAGTCTTAAAGTTACTGTAGTTGAACCAGTCTCCCAAACAACCCATCTGTTGTATTAGTTAATGTTTCATTGATGCTTGTCTCTCTGCTGCTTTCCCACAGAAAGGGGAGTGTGTTTGCCCACAGTATCCCTCTGGATACTCTTTGTTTATATTGAAGCAGCAATTAGATTTAAAGATCTCAAAAATTTTCATGTAGACCTTTGTCGTCCATTTGCTGCTCACTGGTGAGTATTATGTGTATTCTTAATCTGTAATCTAATTCAGTGTTTTCAATGTAGAATGGTAATTTCAATTGTAAATTTTTTCTCAGAGATATTACATGAATCCAGAAGATAACATAACATGGTGTGGTAAAGAACATGAGCCCTGTAGTCAGGCAGATGGGTGTTTGAATCCCAGCTCTGCCCCCTAACAGCTTTGTTGCCTCAGACACGTCACCCTCTCTAAGCCTGAGTTCTCTTACCTATATATTGGGATATATGGGGTGTCATGGGAAAGATGAAATCTCATGGGGTGTCATGGGAAAGATGAAATAAGGTGATATATGTGAAGTGTTTAACTTAATGCCAAGCACATAGGTGTCTGATATATGTTATCTATTTTTATTGTAATCAGATAATGATGCCAAGAAGTCTTAGTGAAATATATGGCTATTTCATGGAGCTTAAATGAACTTACAATTTCCTTTGCCTATTTACAAAAGTAAGAGAATATTGTTAATAATTTTTTAAGGAATATTATTTTTAACCTTAAACCATGAAACATGTTTTAAAATGAGCTTGATTCTTGTTTATATCTATTGCGGAAATAACCACGTAATGTATATTTCTTTTAAATACACCAATTTTTGCTAATATTTATGGCAGAAACCAAAACAAATAGGCATCAACAACAAAAACATAGTTTCCAGTATGTTTAAAGTCTTTTCACAAACAAGTGAATTAAATAAACCTGGTCAGTAAAACTTGTCACTTTAAATTTGTGGTGTGATCACGTTTAGACTAATTATAATTGTTGTTTTCATGTTAATGAAGCTTAATATGAGTTTCAACAGTGTTTTCAGAGACTTTGAAATGATGTTAGACAGACTGATGAGTTGAATGAAAATATTTCAACTTTTTATCCCAGAGATTAGGGTTGTAAGTACAGGTGGTTTAATTTGTTGGTGCAAACCAGTTGTTGGCACTGATAACATCAGATACTTAGTTAAATGATTCTTGAATTTATGTTTGATGGAGTGTTTATGTATGAACTAATTTTCCAGGAATAACTGGTGACCGTACCCCTCAGGCAGCAAGAAGATTAGTCACTTGAATTTGACCCTGCCTTCTAGTATTAAAAACCAAATGATGTCCTTTTGATTTTTTTAACACTTGTAATGTTCACTTATGACCACTCATAAAATCTCTACCCTGTTAGTTCTTAAAAGCATACAGATGCCTAAGTTCTAATCATGCATAAGGCAGTTCAATGTTAATCAAAGACATTAGCCACTGTATCCAACAGTCCCTGCGGTAACTCCTTGAGTTCATTTGAAGAATGCCAAAGTCTGATGGGCAGCCTCTTATGGTCCAGCAGTCCTGCTGTTCCCTGGGGGTTTGTTCTGCGTGCCAGCTGCCTCTGATTTCCACAGCATGCATTACACACTACGTGTGTGTTTACTGAATGCTCAACTATCATCATCATCTAGAATTTCTTAATTTCAGTCACAGGTGTCCTCATGTACTTGATGCACATGTTGTTTGTTTTTAACTTACAATTACTGGCGGGATTGTCTTCTTTCTAGTATTGGGTACCCTGTGGTGACTTTGGGCTTTGGCTTCAAAAGTTATGTAAGCTACAAAATGCGGTTGAGGAAGCAGAAGGAAGTGCAAAAAGAGAACGAATTTTACATGCAGCTTCTTCAACAAGCCCTCCCCGCAGAGCAACAAATGCTACAAAAGCAAGAAAAAGAGGCTGAGGAAGGTAGGTCTTTACTCTAAAGCTATTGATTCAATAGGTTAGTCATTATTTTGTCTGTCAGTTGTTTTTTTTGTTTTTTTTTTTTTTCAGAAAAGTTGCTAGGGCTCTGGAAAATTACCAAGGCTTTCCCTGTCTTCTGGTGTGCCTCTTCAGGGCTGTTGCTTTGTTTGGTCATGAAATGCAGAATGTGCGTGATGTTTTTCTACCTAGTGTCTGAAGGCCATGTGCTTTTAAATACGTTTATCTTATTATTTTTATATATTTCATTTTTATAGCTCATTTTCTATTTTAATATTTTATTTGTTATAAATATTTTAAAATATTTATTCTCAGTAACAAAATAGTGTATATAACTATGTGCATTTGTAATTGAAGCAAACCAAGAACCAAAGTATAAGCAAGATAGAGATGTAAACATATAGAATTGTTTTATAAGTCAAAATTCTTCTGAATAGAGCAAAGATGGCTAGGTCTCACTTTAAATGGTTTGTATAATGCAACATGGATCTCAGATTGACCTTCTTCTAATACAACCTCTCTCATGAATATATAACCAATTCAACAGATGAATTGATAGCAATACCAGTTTTCTTTGGTTTGAGAGGGTCATGTTTTTAGTTGATACATGACAAAATCTTATTATCTGGTGTGGTGCAAAATTATCTCTTCAAGTAGACTTTGACAAGTTGGAATATGTAGACCTGATACAGAAAATTCTTTGTAAGTGGCCTAGTAAAATGATAATAGACTTCTTATTACTTTAATGATAAAGTCCAGCAGAGGATAGATGCCCTGTATCCTAACATCACACCTTTTTGTTTCATTTAATCTCTTTCTTTGCAGTAAAATTATTAAGTTTGTTTAATCTAAGCATCTTTTAAAATGTGACCTTTTAAGAGTATGATGTGCCTGTGTCCTATCACCCCCCTGATAGACAAGTTTGATTTGACTGATAAGTGAAGTATGACTTAATTGTAAAATCCTCATGTTATTTTCAAGGCCAAAACTTTAATGGCTTGGTGTTCATAAATGATGGCGATTTTCTAAATGTGCAGCTTCTCAAATTTATTTGGATTTGCTTCTTGAAGTTAGCATAATGTGGTGCGGTCATTGCTTCTGAATGAGTTTGCAGCTTAATGTGGTGAGTTTCTAAGTGTAGATGATGCAGTTTATTGAATCAATCCATTGTGTTTTTTTACAACTAAATATTCCAGTGTGGGTTTTTTTTGCTTGTTGGTTTGTTTTTGGTATTGTAGCAGCCAAAGGATTACCTGATATGGATTCCTCAATCCTCATACACCACAACGGAGGTATCCCAGCCAATAAAAAACTCCCCACAACTTTGCCAGAGATAGAATACCGAGAAAAAGGGAAAGAAAAAGACAAAGATGCCAAAAAACACAACCTTGGAATAAATAACAACAATATTCTACAACCTGTAGACTCTAAAATACAAGAAATTGAGTATATGGAAAACCATATCAATAGTAAAAGATTAAATAATGATCTCGTGGGAAGTACAGAAAATCTCTTGAAAGAGGACTCATGCACTGCTTCCTCAAAAAACTACAAAAATGCCAGTGGAGTTGTGAACTCCTCACCTCGAAGTCACAGCGCCACAAATGGGAGCATTCCTTCCTCGTCTAGTAAAAATGAGAAGAAGCAGAAATGCCCTAGCAAGAGCCCAAGTGCACACAAGGACTTAATGGAAAACTGTATTCCTAATAACCAGCTAAGCAAACCAGATGCACTGGTAAGGTAAGTGTGTGTGCTGTGACCTTACCAACGCTTTCCATAAACTTGACTTAGGTCTTGAAAAACACACTTCCAAGTATGCCTGTAGGAATTGTTTGTGATCAGATACTGTGACAACTAACTTTGTGGTGTTTGACATTCAGTGTTTATTTCACATGGGTTTGTTGGTCACCTGTGCCGTTGTCCAAAAGCATTGACTCCAGCTCTTTCCAGTGTTCTGAGTGAGTGGTGACAGTGATTACTTTCCACATTTGACAAATTTACATGTAACTTGATTCTTCTCATGGTTTTGAGAGGCATATCTTTAGTCCTTGACCTCTTCTGTTTGCGTATCCAAAGTTCTTGTGGCATAGACACAAAAAGAAGAGTGTGTGTCCTGTTCATGCAAATCTTTGTCAGATAGATAGAAAAATGAGGGTGGGGGTGGAGAAAGTTGTCCTTTACCACTTTGGACTTGTTCTTGATTGTCCACTTAAAATATGAATTATCCCCCAAATAATTCTGGGAAAGTTAGGTTTGAAAAATAATCTCTTTCTAAAAATTCCATAGGTAAATACAGTTGATCCTTGAACAACACGGGTTTGAACTGCATGGGACCACTTATATGTGTTTATTTTTCAGTAGTAAATATTACAGCACTACATAGTCCTTGGTTGGTTGAATTTGCGGATGTGGAAGAACCATGGATATGGAGGGCCAACTGTAAATTACACTGGGATTGACCCCCACGTTGTTCAAGGGTCGACTGCACAGTGTTAGACATGGATTTTAATCAGAAATGTTCCTTTCCCCATCTTTCAGTTAAAGAGTAACGTTGTATTACCTTGACTGGCTTAGACTTAATTTTTCTGTATTTTATGTATTTAATAAAATACACATATGTTCATTTTACTTCATATCTTTCCATTTGCAAACTGAGATCTGAATTGGAGCTTTTTTATTTTTTTCTCCTTATTTTTTAAAATTGAAGTATAGTTGATTTACAGTGTTGTGTTACTTTTTGGTGTACAGCAAAGTGATTTAGTTATACATATATATCTATATTCTTTTTCATATTCTTATCCATTATGGTTTATTACAGGATATTGAATATAGTCCCCTGTGCTATACAGTAGGACCTTGTTGTTTATTTTATATATAGTAGTTTGTATCTACTAATCCTAAACTCCTGATTTATCCCTCCCCAACCCCTTTCCCCTTTGGTAACCATAAGTTTGTTTTCTGTGTCTGTGTGTCTCTTTCTGTTTTGTAAATAAGTTCATTTGTATCATATTCTCGATTCCACATATAAGTGATACCATACGGTATTTGTCTTTCTCTGGCTTACTTCACTTAGTATAATAATCTCTAGGTCCATCCATGTTGCTGTAAATGTCATTATTTTGAGGAGCTTTTTAAAAATACATAACTTAAGAGGGCACTTGTAACTCCTTCCCTCCACTAAGTTATCTTTATTCCTCTTCCTTTGGCTTGCTTCAGAACAGACAATTTATGAGGGAAGGTTTTTCTAGTGTTATGAATTATATGAATTAGATTATTAATTTGTTTTAGTTTTCTTATTGGCAGCTAGATGAAAGGAAATATATGTGGGTTCTACTGCTGAAGCCGCTAGAGGTTTCAGAGCCCTCTGCCACTTCTGGAAGCATACATGCTGTTGCTGATGCCAGGCTGGCATCCACATCTGTTTCTTTTGATTTGACGTTCTGCCCCATCATACCCTGCAGAGAAAACACTCAGCAGAGAACTCTCTTCCATTTGCCCATGGGAGAAAGACCAATTAGTTGACCTTCTATGTCAAAGGGAATATCCCACAAATTTACTATATGCTATAAATGAAACATCTGCCACCATCTTTTTAACATCCTTTCTCCTACACAATTTTAATAATAGCAGTCCAGTCAAAACAGTTTTCCTCTGTCGGGTGTTGCAGAGAGAGAGCAGTCAAGGCTCAGTCTTGTGATACCACCTCACTTGGGCCCACTTGTCATGTTGGTTGACTCTACTACCTGATCTGCCTTTAGTAAAGAATTTCAAGGTCTCAGATGGCCCATTTTCCAGTCGTGGGTCCAGTGCTCCTGTGCCTGCTCCTGGAGTATATACCTCTTCCTGTGATCACTAATGTGTCCTCTGATGTGCCTTGATCTGAAGGGCCCCAGAATATTACTCTGCTTTAGGCAATACCTGCTGTCAAATACCTAAATATAAAATGTTATATTTAAATAGTTTTATCAGCTTCCACAGGATTATTTTCAACTTTTAATATAATATTATAAAAAATAAAGAGATGATATAAATATCCAACAATAGGGGAGAAATTTAAATAGTTATGGTCCATATATTCCATAGATTTTTAATACAGAAATTACAAAATCATATTTTTGAGCCATATTAAATAATATAGGGAAGTGCTTATGACATAATATTTCATGAAGAAAGTAGAAATCAATCTTATTAAAAACATTTTGTTTTTCTGGTATACACAGAGAAAGGATTTGAAGGGAAAGGAACCAAAATGATAACAATAGTTAATTGCTCCATGATAGTATGGGGGCTTTTAATTTTTCTTCTCTCTTTCATGCATTTTCAAGTTTTTCTATGATGAACAACAATGAAAGTTTATAAAAGGAAAAGGATATCTATCCTAGTGAATTATCACACTGTCCCTCGCCCTTCTTGGCTGTCTCCTGTTTCTTCTTCCTTGACTTCATGTATGTTTTGATGAATATTAATAAGACTGTAACGGATCCAAACCTGACATGTTTGAGCTGTTAGTCATAGAGTGGATTTGTTATCTTCAGATGGAAAGGGCTGGGCTCAGTGGTCTCTAAGGCTGCTTCTGATGCAAACGTACATGGGTTGACAGTATGTACATGAGTCCTTTGCTCCTGCAGATACACCCAAGGCTGTGTATAGTTCCAGGCTGGCTATAAGGATAAGACTGATCATCCCTTTTATAAAGCTTTTTCTAAAAATCGTTTGAAAACCAGTACTGTATTATTAATAGTAAATTAATTGCAGCACATTCTACATAGCTATGTCTGTCTCAGTATCATGGTTGAAAACTACTGTATTTGAGGAACCAATTCATTGATTTTGGGGGGAATATTCATTAGTACATCACCTTCAAAGAATTCTTGGAGATCGGTGTGGCTGTCAAAATGAAGTCCGATGGTTGTTCCCTGTGAAGGAGCAAGCAGTCCTTCAGGTCTTTTCACCGTCTCTCCAAGCTCCAAGGATGTTCTCTAGTGTGCTGTACACCACAGGCTGGCAGACCACTGCACACAGGCCAAACTTGGCCCACTGCCTGTTTTTGTAAAAAAAAGTTTTATTGGAACATAGCCACGCTCATTCATTTACATAGTGTCTATGGCTGCTTTATTGTGGCAGAGTTGAGTAACTGCGACAGAGACTCTATGGCCTGCAAAGCCAAAGATGTTCACTCCTAGCCCGTAACAGAAAAAGCATGCTGATATATGTGCCACATCTTCTTTATCCATTCGTCCGATGATGGACACTTAGGTTGCTTCCATGTCCGGGCTATTGTAAATAGAGCTGCAATGAACATTTTGGTACATGACTCTTTTTGAATTATGGTTTTCTCAGGGTATATGCCCAGTAGTGGGATTGCTGGGTCATATGGTAGTTCTATTTGTAGTTTTGGAATATTACTCAGCCACAAAAGGAAACGAAATTGAGTTATTTGTAGTGAGGTGGATGGACCTAGAGTCTGTCATACAGAGTGAAGTAAGTCAGAAAGAGAAAAACAAATACCATACGCTAACATATATATATGGAATCTAAAAAAAAAAAAAGGTCATGAAGAACCTAGGGGTAAGACGGGAATAAAGACATAGACCTACTAGAGAATGGACTTGAAGATATGGGGAGGGGGAAGGGTAAGCTGTGACAAAGTGAGAGAGTGGCATGGACGTATATACACTACCAAACATAAAATAGATAGCTAGTGGGAAGCAGCTGCATAGCACAGGGAGATCAGCTCGGTGCTTTGTGACCACCTAGAGGGGTGGGATAGGGAGGGTGGGAAGGAGGGAGACGCAAGAGGGAAGAGATATGGGAACATATGTATATGTATAACTGATTCACTTTGTTATAAAGCAGAAGCTAACACACCATTGTAAAGCAATTATACTCCAATAAAGATGTAAAAAAAAAAGTATGCTGATAGATCCACTAAGGTGGGGGAAGGTGGGGAACTTGGCAGTAAGTGTTGCCTGTAGGCTCCTTCCCAGGAAAAGTTTGGGAACTTGCTAAAGCCACTCCAAAGTCCTCTTTTGGTTTGAGAAATACATATCTTACAAAATGGCCCAATTTCTGCCAGCTTGATTTCTGAATTCTTTACCCAAGTTATTTAGAAACAGACTTATAATATTGGTGGCGAAAAATATTTTTAATTCTGACGTGGAAAAAACTGCTAGACATAAACAAAAAAGCAATAAGGAAGATCAGTTATTTTAAGTAAGTGCTGGGTTAGAAAGGAATCCTGTAAATTAGAGTGAGGTTTGCTCAATTTTTTCTTCAGTGGTCAAATTTAAAATATTTTAAGTGTGAAAAAATTATAGAAAACTTAGGTGGAAAAAGGAGGAAATATATGACACAAATCACTGTTAAATTTTTGTTGTATTTCATCAACTAAAGTTATATAGTTGGGGCCATAGTGTTTGTGTAGGGTTTTTTTATTAATTTGTATTGGAGTATAGTTGCTTTACAGTGTTGTGTTAGTTTCTGCTGTACAGCAAAGTGAATCAGTTATATGTATACATATATCCCCTCTTTTAGATTGCCTTCCTATTTAGGTCATCACAGAGCATTGAGTAGAGTTCCCTGTGCTGTACAGTAGGTTCTCATTAGTTGTCTTTTTTATACATAGTAGTGTATATATGTCAATCCCAATCTCCCAATTCATCCCACCCCCTCCTTCCCCCATTGGTATCCATAAGTTTGTTCGCTGTGTTTGTGTAGTTTTTGTGTCCTGCTTTTTTCAC